ACACACACACACACACACACACATGCCATGGCAAACATACAACTTCGCAATTAGAACCCGGAATACATTTTTCACATCTGTTAAATATCTTGGCCTGGATGTGTCTTTAAAGAGGGGAAACGCTGGTTTAAGTGTTGCTGTTTTTGCCATTGTGCAAAAATAAGACAATGAAAGATTTTCTTAAAGTTATGAAACATGAAAAAAAAAAAACACGTTGTGAAACATCCTCTGGTCAAGTTGTTACATGACCTAAATCTACTGAAACCAGCACAGTGGGTATAAAGAAATTACCCGATTAACGGATTAACTGTCAGTATTTCCTAAATAAGGAAAGAAAACAGACATTTTTCCAAACCAGAATGTGGATCTAACTTTTAAATATTAAACACGTAGAGAAAGACATAATATCTTAGAAATGTATTATAGTAGTACATAAAAAAAGGCTGTGAGACTAAACTAAAATGAAACAGGCCTACCTGGATATTCGTTTTGTAGATTTCTAATATATCCGAACAGTGCCGTGTCTACCTCCGAGCTATTTGATAATGATAGTAACTGAGTTTCATACGACTCCATAAGGTTTTATAAGTGAACAAAAGCTTCCTGACAACTGCCAGGCACTTTCGCAAATACTTATTCAGTCTGAATGTGTGCTTTCATTACGCATTCCTGTGATACTTGCAGGGCGGGAAGATTCCAAAACAAGTCTTTTAGCCACTGAAAATCTTAAAAGTTATCTAAGTTATTCTCACTGCACAGAGGATAGAGCTGCAAATATAAATTTGGATAAAAAGGTCATTTTTTTAAAAGAACAACCTTTTAAAGTATGTCTGCCAAATAATTAAAACAAAGAATTTAAGAAAAATCTCTCTCAAAGTCGAAAGACAACATTTCTGCTTAGCTAAAGCAGTCAAAGAAGTCTTTTCTGAACCACTATGACTGGAATGTATTAGTTTGATTAAATATAATAAACTTTTCACTTTTTTCAAAATGTCCGTTTTATTTAATTCTGCTTTGGCACACTTAAGAATGAAGTTCTCCCCTGCTTAGTGTCTTATTTTCTATCTTTACCAGAAACTCAATTTAGAGAAATGATCTATATCATTTGGCTACAGCTCTTGTGATTGTGTGAGATGTGATGTTCGCAAATAAAATAAAAAAACATTAAATGTGAAAAAAGGACTGTTATGTGTGAAAAAAGGTGTTTGCAGGTAGAATGATCCAAGTCAGAGCGATCACAGCCAGAAGGAGCTACAGTCTGCCAAAATTAATTCCAGTTTGCAAAATCTTTTTTTTTAATCCACCAAGGTTGAGCTGGCAACTAGATCACTCGTGTAAATTTGACTATTGTCAAAGCAGCTAAAGAAAAAAAAAAACATGATCATATTTAATTGCTTTTTTTTATGACGCTTCACAGGTAAGTTTTAGGTAGCCATGGAAACTCGATTGTAGTTGTGCTTCAGCGTGATGCGGCATGAGCCCTTGAATGAGTTTTGAGACGATTTTTTTATGTAAAAACAAATAAATGAATAAATTGAAGCAACTGCGACAAAAGCACAAAAAAAWTTTTTGAAACCTTATTATTTTTAATTTTGCTGCCAAAACACGAGGTTTTCCGAAATATTTAAGACAGATTTATCTCTCTTTCTTTTGTTTATTTATTTAATATTTTATTTTATTTTATTGGTAAATGAAGCTTAAAGAGTTAAACCTGCGTAGATCAGTCTTAAAACACCAGGTGAGGCACTTTCTGCGATCTTCTAAAACAGAAAACAAATCTTTAAACCTAAAGACTATTAAAGGCTTAAAGGCTACTCTGCAGGTAAGTAAGTAAATTTAAGACTTATCAACTTCTCGACATGCACCTTTAGTCTCAGCTGGCATGTCTTAAACAGGAGTTCTGCTCTAATGAAGAATTTTTGTTCCGGCAAGTTTTACCAGTTGTAAATAGAAAATTAAAAAAAAAAAAATAGGAGAAAAAGAAGCAACTCTAGCAGAGACAAAAAAAAGGGGGGGCAGTAGATTACGAGCCCTGTGACATTCTGGATGCAATCCACAAAAGTGGCTCGTTACATCAATGGATCTCCACCACATTCCCAAAATGGCTGCCAAACATGCTCAACAGTGCAAGACAAAAGTGCAAAATTCAACTGCAACTCCGTTTTTTTTTTTTTTATTTTGACGTGGCAAAATTAACGACCAGAAATTTTGAAAAATCCGTTTTGCCTCCAACTGCGAAACATTACCCTGCAGGGCTGCCAGCAGAGTTTGACTACATTTGATAATTTAATCAGAATATATTTTTTATAAGGGCGTGCTATTTGCATTATAAAAAAAAAATCCAAAAATTTGAAGAACGTGTTTGTATTTTTCAGACTTCTCACAGGAAACGAGTCAATCTATGGAAGCTGTTTCCTCTCACTGTGTTTCTACTCAACGCAAGGGCTGAAATGATCTAAAAAATAGGGAAAAAAAACATACATCATGGGCATGTACAAATTAAATTATTTAAGAACTAGGCTGCCAGTAAGGGCAGGTAACAGCCCGAGGAGGACTGGGTGGCGTGTGTAAACCAAGCAGCCAGAGATTTGGCTTTGCCGAGCCTTTCAGAGTGATGTCTCTATCCTGCCTGTTTGGGCAATACTGCCTCTTCAACGTGCACTTACAAATTCTTTGGAATCCTCATCTGCCATCTGGGTGCAAAAAAAAMMAAAMMSAAAAAAAAAATWWMAWAYAMRA